CTAAAAGATTCATTCATGAATTTGTTTAGGTCATCTGGATATTTTACACTTATTGTTTTATGAATACTGCATAAAGGGACATAATACTCATTTTACATACTACTTTTTGGATACTGTAAAGTATGGAAGTACTGTGGATATTTGGACACTGAAACATGTCTATTTGTATTCAAATATGCATACTTTCTATGAATGAGTCATTGAATCATTCACTGAAATGATTCATTGACACACTATTGGCATGAAAAGAAAATTCACCCTATATGTTTAATAAATGCATGTTAGGAAGGTTATTGTGAACAATTAATTTAGTCAATTTAAATTCTGGCCCTTTAAGCCCCATTCACACCAAGGACGATAGCTATAAAGATATAGTTCTAAAAATCGTTCTCAGTATTAAAGAATAGCAGAGTCCACACCACAACTATAACGATAAAGACAAAGAGAAACGATATCGTTGGAATCACTTTCAAAACGATTTTTTCCAGATGATGAACGATAAAAAATTGACAGCCAATCAGAATCCATCCTGCTGTAACGAGCTCGAGAATTTAAAGCGGCAGACGCACGTGCGCTTAGAATAAACAGACGATATCGTTCGCTGGTGTGGACGCTAATATCGTTATCGTTATAGTTATCTTTATAGTTATCGTTCTTGGTGTGAACGGGGCTTTAAGGCTCTCATTTATGTGCCTCATCACAAAATCCAATCAACAACTGAAGCAGCCCAGCGTTTTTCTGTTTTGGTATTTTGTTACACCTGGATGTACATCACAGTATATGGAGGAAAAAAATCTGTTGCTGCTTCAGTTTTATCTCGACTGTACTGGATAAGTGCACATGATGCTTATTTGATGTACTGCTGTTCGTGTATGGAAATTGAACTCAAAATGTCATAATTAGATATTCTGGTGAAAACGACAGACTTCTCCATGATGATGTATGTAGGTCTTCTCCAATCATTCAGTCTGCTTAAATCCCACCCCCTCTTCTTTTGAGTGCAACGCCCACTTCCGAACAACCAATCAACACCTGCCCTACAGTTTTATTTTATTTTTTATTTTTTTATTATAATCCATTACACTGGATGTACATCCCAATATGGAAGAAAATATGTCGCTACTTCCATTTCTTCGCGACTAAGCATCACTTAGCATTTTTCCCAAAATGACAACAAAGCTGATTTATCTTTTTTCCTCCAAATTTGTCCCAGATACGAGTCACTGATTCATTCACGAACAAAAACACAACCATAGCATTCCAGCTGCTTTTTATAGTTTGTGTATTTGCTAACCAAACAATTCTTCAAAGCTGAGTGTGACCGCAAACAAAAGCTGACGTTGCCAGACAGTCTTTAGTCTCAGGGTTCAAAGGCCATTTGTCTTATTTAATGCTTGGCAACTAATTAAGTCCTTTGAGAGACATTCTGCCATTACGAACTCACTAAAGTTTGTGAAATTGTTTATTAGTAGTTGTGGAGATTTAAAAAAACAATGTCTTGGATCGGCACTTGACCAATTGTTTCAGAGAATAGTAATGATTCAGAAAGTACGTTTACCTTTATTTTGTCATTTATGATTCACTACTTAGTCAACTTTCTACATTACTTGCACCACTTTTATATCATCATCTGTGTCAGGCATTTTATCAAACTTTATATTGGCTCTTTGACATTGCTGATATATTCAGGCCTTGCTCAGATAACATTCTGACAGTTGGTATTATCCGAGTGCTTTTAGCTCTTCATTCACACAGAATGGCACGGAAAGGAAGAGAGAATCTGTCTCATTCTCTGGCCCGGCCGGCTCCAAGCAGTACTCATTACCACAGGTGACAGAACAGCCTTTCAGCCGCTGCCAGCCAATGACAGCGGCCATGATGTCATGCTGACCTCTCAGAATGACTCCATTGAGACAGAGCAGGCTTTAGTACAGCTGGAGGCCCATCCGCTCAAACCGTGTCACTGACAGCACGGCAATAAGGAGGGGCTTTCATTGAAAAGTCCTCTGCGTGTTTTCTTGGTCCCGTGTGAATGGTTCACCGATCTGTACCAGGGATGTGTGTATGTACCTCTCAGGAGAGCTCATCGCTTAAAGAAAGTTTGCTCTGAGACAATAGCTTTTATCAGTGGTTTTGAGCTCATATTTAGTTTGAGTAATGTGAACTAACAATATTGAGGGCGGACGACATGAGTGTTTACTAAAGGAATGGCAGCTTAGAATCCCTTAATGTGTTTGCTTGACTGTTTTGTGAGGCTTTATTGGCAATGTATTGTAAATATTGTATTTTAAACACTAGTAAGCTGCTTACAGACAGCATTTTAAGGCGTCATTGGGTGTGTTAAAGGCTGTTCCAAACTTAATTATTCTGCTCTCTAAGCAATCCTGGTATGCAGTATTGAAGTATCGATAAAAAAACTAATAAATTAATTTCCCATTCATCTTTCCTAGAAGATTTGAAAAAGTATTGGTTAAAGAGTTACAAGCCATGAACCAAACCTGTTGCAAGAATTTGAATTTGTTGAAAACATAGAAAGCACATTATAAAAGAGGTTATCTGTCCAGCAGTAGCTAAAAAATGTAGTATTTTGCATGTATCATTTTCATTTAATAAATGGACATTATTATTATTATACATTATATTTTTTAGTGTATTATACTTGTTTTTTTCTCAACTTTTAACACCACTGCCTGATTTCATGTACACTACCATTCAAAAGTTTGGGGTCAGAATTATTATTATTTTTTATATATATATATATATATATATATAGGGTTAGGTTAGAAACCTTTAGTTTATATATATGATCCCTAAACCTACCCATCTCCACCCCAACCCCGCCCCCTGGATCTTTGTTCTGCAGTGAGGGGCTACAGGACGCACAACGTGGCTTTTTAGGTAATATTTTCGTTGGCAAAATTGAACAAAAACACAATATTGTGTTTAAAATATAACACAATATTAACTTATTAACTGAACTGTTGTATAAAATCACATTTGCACTTGGTCGTAGGCCTGGGCAATAAAACGGTATCAATCGTTATCGACGGTCTTCTTCGATAACGATATAAAAGATGTTTGATATAGTGCACGATATAGGCACATGCTATGAGTGACGCAGACAGCACACACAAACACGAACACATGCTGAAATGAATGCTGTGCCTGCCTGTGATGAGGAGATTGTGAATAAAAAAATGAATATTAGTCGAATTTAAAATAAACATTTGCATTTGAGTGTTAGGAGTGCGTCAGGGAGCGTCATCAGTGGCGCACGAGATGTGGTGGTAACGATGTGAGTGACGTTGTTGCATTTTAATGTTTTGTTATTCTAGCCCACAAGATGCGCCGCTGCTGTGTTATGCATTCAAAATATTAGAGAAATATAGAAGCTCAAATGCGGAGAAGATCTTGATTAGGTGAAAACCGAAACCACGCCATTCATACAGATGCATATTCGGTGCATTTTGACGGATAAATATGACTGCTGCACTCGCGTCTCACACAGTAATTGTAGCCATGCAAAGTTAAAATAGTTTAAACTTTATTCCTTTTCACTGGGCCTCTTATGTTTTTAAATGCAATCTGCATGATGGGAGATTCGGCTCTTTGTATTAAGCAATGCATAAATACATGATGCTGTTTTGTTCATAATTGTTTATGCAATTTTCGAAATTATATTTGATTTAGGCTATATGAGTTAATTTAGACGTAATTCTAAATATATTTAAAAAAAAAAATTTTTTATAGACATTTATTACCTTGCATTGACAATTTAAATGTGCTGCATTGTTTTGCTCATTGCGCCCTCCTGTGGCCTCGGAAGACAAGCCAAAAGTTTCCTTAAAACCTATTTAATCTGCATATAAAACATTAGAAATTAGATATTTGTTTAATTTTTATTGTGTTTGACTGTTTGTTTGTCCCAATAAATTGGGTTAATTTAAAAATACAGTGGTTAAATTAAAAAGAAATTTCTGTTGCTCTTTGTTTTAAAAAAAGGTTATAAAAAATGTCAATAATTATCGATACCGAACGATATGAAACATTATATCGTTGATAAATTTTTTAGCTATATCGCCCAGCCCTACTTGGTCGTGACAAAAACAGCACTCGTGTGATATTACTCTGGCTGCTGGTGTGATATCGCTTATCATATAATATAAATATGAGACAAAAACTCATACAGGGGTATTTTTTTGCCCCAATATCTTGAATTTTAGGTCATAACTGCATTTATGGAGTTGTTGACCTTCATCATATTTGTCAACAGTCAACTATATGAAATTGAGATGACGTACAGGTCTGAGGATGGAGCCAGTGCGTTAACTGCGTTAAAATATTTTAATCGCGTAATTTTTTTAAGTTAACGCGTTAAACTGACAGCCCTTGTGTGTATGTGTGTATGTATGTTGTAGCCATTTAAGAAAGTGTATTTTTATTTTATATTATTTGTTTAAAAATGATTTGTTTGTGTTTTTAGTTAAATTTGTTAATTAAGAAAGATTTGTATAACATACTTCCGTGGCCAAAACAGTATATATGTATGTGTGTGTGTGTATATATGTGTGTGTGTATGTGTATATATAATATATATATATATATATATATTCTTTTTTTAATAAATCTGCAAAAATGTCAACAATTCTGTGTTTTTCTGTCAATATGGGGTGCTGTGTGTACATTAATGAGGAAAAAAAATTTACTGAAATTATTTTAGCAAATGGCTGCAATATAACAAAGAGTGAAAAATTTAAGGGGGTCTGAATACTTTCCGTACCCACTGTATATCCTATAATCCTTTAGATTTTTTTTTGTTTTTTTTACAGATTTTTTAAATATGAGATGAAATATGAGATCATTAAAAAAAACACTTTAAGTTATCATTAAAAGTCAAAGAAAACAAGTTAAGCAGCTCACACTTGCAAAAGCCCCATGAGGTCTTATTTAGTAGTCTTTAAAATATCTAAATATGTCGTAATTTTTTCATCCTGCATCAGGATGTTGTCTAGGCTGAGCGAGTGGTTCTGGAACGAGAGGCTGTGGTTTCCAGAAGGACTGGGTTGGGCTGACCTGGAGGATCGTGACGGTCTCACCTACTCCAAGGCATCCGACCTGTGGGTGACCCTGCCCATTGCCCTCGCCTTCCTCATCATACGACAGATCTTTGAGAGGTCAGCATGAAACCTACTGATCATATTAGCTCATTAGTGTTTTATGTGGTTGTCACCAATATTGTATTTGCAACATATGGTTTATGCAATAGACTTTTTATCAGAAGTGTACATATTAACACGTGCTGTTCATCTAGTGAGAAAGCTGTTTAAAAGAAAATGTCTGTCACGTTCAGTGGCCGTTTTCATTTGAATTTAAGAACATCGAAAGCACAGTAGTGTAATATGGAGTGAACAAAACATACTGTATTGTATACATGAGCTCAGAAGGAGGATATTTGATGTAATTTTATCTGTCTGAAACTATCCAGTAATCAATCTGAATTACGTTTTACATTTGTAAGTGCTCTAGCTTTTCAAAAACTTTGAATGATTGATGTTTTAAATATGGTTAGCATTGATGCAGTGTTGTCAGTTTTCCAACTCAAGTGTTGAAAGTTTAATACCGTTTTTCTAATTTAGGACAGTGGCCACTCAACTGGCCGCAGCTTTGGGCGTAAAGGAGAAAGTCAGAGTGAAAGCGGCGCACAACCTCACGCTGGAGTCGTACTTCAGAATTACAAGTAAAAATCCCAAACAGGTACTACACTGCCAAACTCATTAGTACAGTTAAACCCTTTACTTTTTGTATGTTTCCTCATTTATAAGCTGCTTTAGATTCATGCATCTGTATTGTGAATGTAAATGTATGCAGCAAGTTTTTGCTATCTTGTGTATATGTACACACATTTTCAATGCTGAATTGTTTCAGTCCGCTCGTGAGCAACATGTGAATCTCATACCCTTAAAAGCATGTCTCACCATTAAATGACCCTTCATGTTCTCTGTTACTCTTCAGAGCGAAATCGAGAGTTTAGGTAAAAAGACCGGGTACTCAGAAAGTCAGATCCACAGATGGTTCAGGCGACGAAGGAATGAAGAGCGACCCAACAAGCTGAAGAAGTTCAGAGAGGCCAGGTACAGAACAATACACAGACTGTTTGAACCCCATTTCCATCCTTTCATAAATGGCCTTAAAATCCACCATGCTGTGTATTTTATTAGCTTGCTTAATGTCATGAACATTATAAAATGATTAAGTAACAATGCTCACTGATAATCTAAGTATTGAGTGGTACAACATGTCATAATACACGAAATTCACTGTAAAACAGAAAAAACACATCAATTTTCCATTAGGTGGTAGGAAGTCTATTGCACACAGGAGAAACGGTATGTGGTATTAATAAACAAAATTTGGCTAATGTACCCATGTATTTTACTAACGGTGGGTTGGTCCATTAATATCTTGTCCTTGACATTTCAACATTTATTTGTCTTGTGCTTCAGAACCACATCCAACACACGTAATTAAAGGAATGCACAGGGTTCAATACAGAGTTAAGATTAATCCAAAGCATTTGGGGTAATGTTGATTACCTTAAAATAGTTCACCCAAAAATTTAAATCAGGCCATCCAATATGTAGATGAGTTTGTTTCTTCATGAGAAGATTTGAGAAATTGAGCATTACTTCACTTGCTCACCAGTGGATCCTCTGCAGTGAATGGGTGCCGTCAGAATGAGAGTCCAAACAGCTGATAAAAACAAGATAATAATTCACAAGTAATCCACACGACTCCAGTCCATCAATTAACGTCTTGTGATGAGAAGAGCATCATTAAGATTTAACTTTTCAACCATCACTTCTTGCCAAAATGCAGTCCATAATCCATAATAACACTTTCTCCAGTGAAAAGGTCCATCCTCTTGGCCTCTCCTATCAAAATCCACCTGTTTTGGACTGTTTTAGTTTGTAAACAGTGCTTGATCTGGTGAAAGCAATAGTATAGATTATGGACTTGTATTTAATCTGGAAACAATGGTTTGAAGTTAAAAATGTCCTAATGACAGATTTGTTTTTAATTTTTTTTGTAAGCATGCAGTTTTTCACTTCACAAGATGGTAATTGATGGACTGGAGTCGTGTGGATTATTGTGATGTTTTTATCAGCTGTTTGAACTCTCATTCTGACGGCACCCATTCACTGCAAATTATCCACTGGTGAGCAAGTGATGTAATGCAAAATTTCTTCAAATCTGTTCTGATGAAGAAATATACTCCTCTACATCTTGATGGCTTGAGGGTGAGTAAATAAGTTTTATTCATTTCATTTTGAAAAATTGCCGACAAAATAACTCTGCTGAGCAGCAAACGTTACAATCAGTTTTTGAAGAATAGTTCTTGATATTATACTTGTCAGCCTAAGACTAAAGTGATATTGATTACTAACCTTGTCTGTGCAAAGTTTTATTGTACATATCTTTTTCCTGTCATGACATCCGTACTACTGAATAGCTAGAAATCCATGCATCTACAACACAAATTATATTTTAGACAAACTTAGTTCAAATGTAATTCCTGTTGGCGCTTTAACATAAATAAAAGCTTCATATTTCAAAAGTGCATTACTTGTTAGTGCACAACTTAACTGCCTCTTTTATTGTCTGTGGTAATGTACATTATGCCACAAATGTTTGTCGATAGTGCTTAACTTGTATTGAGCCTGGAACATACTTTAAATTAGTTTAGCATGTCGTCTCCAGCTGTCAGTCACAACAGTAGGTTGTAGATGCTTTAAATACAGTTGTAGGGGCTGTTGGTCGTGATGTGGGCTTGTAATAGTAGTATTTGTATTGTGAGTGGACTGTATCAGTGTTGTTTTGCCGCCTTTTTGTACATTTTGTCACTGTATGTAGCAACTGTAGACCCTTAAATTGAATGGCTGGTGATCAAGTAATGTTTTTGATCTATTAAACTGAAAAAAATGCTGTCATTTGTTCTTATGAGAGATGCTTGGCTTTGTATATTATGTTGCTGATAATGTATTTGCTTCTGGATATTATTTGCTGAAATGAATATGCATTTTCTTACAGTTGGAGATTTACCTTTTACCTTCTTGCTTTCATTGCTGGCCTTGCTGCACTCATTGATGTAAGTATTAAACATGCTTCCATTTTCCTCCCTTTTTGGCCATTTTGAGTTTATTGGCATAAACCAAAACCTACTTTGTTTTATAATATATATTTATTTCCTATAATATCGGCCTCATTAATCAGCTGTTGTTATTATGAAACATTTTCCTCTTGGCTGGTTGATCCAAGTGTAATTTCCAAAAACTGTTGTTATTTTTGTCCAGGGATAATGCACATTTTTGTTTTCAAATAGTTGATGGCATTTTGGGTAAATATTGTTTAGTTTACACAATATTTACTCAGAATTCACTCAGATATTAGAAGAGGTTCCCATTTGTATCCGTAAATTTTATTTCAACAATATTATGAACACCTTATTTTCTAAAATGAAATTTATATCTATCTCATATTTATCTACATTCACTATAGATGCAATATTGGACAAACCTACTTATTCTTTTATTAGTATTTTCTGCATTTTTAGAATAATAGTAAAGTCATCAAAATAGCACATGGAGTTATGTGCAAACAAAAATCAAACACAAAAAAAAGAACATTTCTAAGAGAAATTCTGAAACCATACATGTGGACAAATGATCTTTGTCTACAAAACTAATTTCAAGAATTTAAGGAAAGGCCTTCATGAGAACCAAAAATATTAAATCTAGTGTCTCTAAATGTTTGATTTATCCATTTTAGAGTTTTATTCCAAAGCAAATTTCAACTTGTTATTCCCCATGACAGCCAATAGCTGGCATGGCATTAAAACACCAACCAATCAAGCAAATGTTTGACTTGTGCTTTATATCTACCATTATATAATCTATCAGCCAGCCTGCTCTCTAAATTCTGGCATCGGCTGTTCAAATACCCATACTGGTGGACCACAACCCCTCCTGTAATGTCATACTTGTGACCTGCAGCGCTTTTGTTGAGATGAAATATGAGAGCACTTTTGTCTTGGCTCATATTGTCTTCATATTGTTTGTGTTGTGCAGAAACCTTGGCTCTACAAAATGAAGGAGATGTGGGCAGGGTTTCCAATGCTGGTGCGTTCACTTCTTTCATTCTTCTATTGATTGTGGGTGTGAAATGTGTCTGCACAACCTTGTCTAAATCTGAAATGGTCTTTGGTATTGCTAAGCTTATGTAAATATGTTTTAACAAGGAGGAATGAGAAATTAGAATTTCACATGAGAAATATGCAAACTGATGCCACAGTACCTTTCCTTAAACCTTCAGGTCATATACAGCAGAATAAATCAGCTGTAGAAACGTTTGTCATTTGTAAAACCCACTGTCTTTTAACCACATCGCTGTTCTGTTGTTACTGATACTGAAATGTCATCTTTCAAAACATTTTATGAATTTATTTGTTTCTCTCTCTAGCCACTGCTGCCTTCTCAGTACTGGTACTACATGATTGAACTAGGCTTTTACATGTCCCTCCTCTTCAGCGTCGCATCAGACGTCAAGCGAAAAGTGAGTGAGCCAAAGACTTTAAACTTAAAACTAGGGATGCACCGATACTGAGCTTCTGTACTTGTACTTGTTAAAATGTCCCGATACCAAACGCCGATACCACACAGCATGTGATCAGTGCCATATTCAGACAAAGAAACACCGACAACAGAACAACAGACAGCAGAATGGAGTTATAAGAGATTAAGGATGTCTACGAAGTATATGTATGCAGTGAATATAATGTTAAACATTCAGTATTGACGTCTGTATAGCTGATGTGCGCGAGCTGATAAGCAAAGCGTGCTGAGTGGATTGAGCGTGGCGGCGCAGATGCGCGAGCTTGTCGAGTGAATATACCTTTCTCACAGACATCACTGGAAAGTTTGTAGTTCGGTCGGATATGTCATAAACAAGTAAGTAAAACAATGCACAAGTTACTTAACGAGAGGGAGAGAGAGAGAGAGAGAGTGCGCACTTCTGTTGTGTGATCTTTGATGTTCTCTCACTTAGCACACGCATCATTTGGATTAAAACTAAATCGTAAAAATAAGACCATTTATAGGGGCATTCACTATAAATGTCATTTATTTTCAACCTTAGGCATACACGACCTTCTGGCGAAAGTGAATCTAGCAGCCTGTGTGAAATGCGCTAGGCTGTACTATTCTGCACCAGTACAAATACGTGCACGCGTGTTTCTGCATTATATGAGTGGCTTTGGAATATAAATATATTATATCCAAAATTTCTTCATACAGTGGACTACCAGTAAAACTGATACAAATTTGGGACCAAAAATTATTCAGACCGAGTCGGGGGGGGAATGAAGTTGAGGTTGCAATGAATCTGGGTGACAGCATGCCCAGGAGACTACAGGCAGTCATTAAGGCTAAAGGTTGCCCGACTACGTATTGATAGTTGTGTAAATACTGTCATACTAACAGCTGTCTAATTTTTTGGTTGATTGTAATCCATTAGGCTACATACCTTTCTATCAAAGTTATCTAACATTATCAAGCTGAATTTGTTCTGACAATTTAACCTTGAGTTCTTGTTATATTTTATTACCATTTTCTAAACTATTGCGAATAAACTTTGATAATGTGAGAAATGTTGAAGGTGTCTGAATACATTTTGGTTTGGCTGTATCTATTTGATAAATTAAGTTAACCAACTAACATTATACATACTCTTTTGGTTTCTGTACCCAATATTTTTAAAATTTACAAATGCAATAAAATATTGGTATCGGTACTCGGTATCGGCAAGTACCAAAAATAAAAGTATCGGTATCGGGCGAGTACTGGAAAAAGTGGTATCGGTGCATCCCTACTTAAAAACCCTAAACTTAAAAAAAAAATCTGTCTTTTTCATAGAAATACCCACTATTCATTCGTTTTTATTCATTAGTATCACAAGGACTTCCGAGATGTCCAGCTTGGATGTGGAGTGTTAGCTGCTGCGTTTGTGTGTGCGCATTTGAGGATGGTTAATCATCAGTAGAAAATCTCTTCTCTCACAGAGCCATTTGATAATAGCATTAATTTGGATTTTTGTATAGTCTGTTTCCAGCACAGAGAGAACACTAGCCATTCCACAAAGCATTAGTGAACAGTAAAAGTACAGCAGGATTAGGTTTATCTGCGGTTTTGCATCACTTGTCCAATGATTTATTATAAGCCCTGCTGAAAAAACAGCCTAAGCTGGTTTACTGGTGTTTGCTTTTCTGTTGGCAGATTTTAGACACTTTTCAGACCAGCTTGGCAAAACCATTTTACACCAGCTAAAACCAGCTTGGGCTAGCTTAAACAGTTTATCTTTCAAATCGGTCTCATGTTTGGTGCAGTTCATTGAACTTCTAGCCAACCTGGCAAATAAAGCTTCATAACTGAGCTGAATGAAGATGATGCATCAATGTTCATTCTTTCTAAAGTTTGAGGGAACATTTGAGAGCCCAATAAGACATGTCTTTTACATTTGGGTTGTGCATCAAATCGAGCTTTATCCAACATGAAAAAAATCACTTGCCTGAGATGATAAAATCCAACGGATCGAATGTCACCTGGTGGTATTTTCACAAACTGAATTTTAATAGGTCACCTATTTTAAGTGATGGTTGAATTAATCAGTCACCTAGTCTATTGTGCTCATCCTGAACTTTGAGTTTAAAGCTTTGGCAATATCATACTAATGTTCTCAAACAGAATATGTGAAATCCCCTAAATTATGCATTTCTGATCAAATAAATGCAGCCTTGGTGAGCACAAGAGGCTTCTTCCCTAAACATGAAAATCTTACCGACCCCAAACTTTTGATTGACAGTGTACCATATTACTGAAGAATTACCATATTTATGTTATTAACATGGTACTTCTAATAAACCATGGCAGTACTAAGTCCATATTGATAGTTGTGTAAATACTGTCATACTAACAGCTGTCTAATTTTTTGGTTGATTGTAATCCATTAGGCTACATACCTTTCTATCAAAGTTATCTAACATTATCAAGCTGAATTTGTTCTGACAATTTAACCTTGAGTTCTTGTTATATTTTATTACCATTTTCTAAACTATTGCGAATAAACTTTGATAATGTGAGAAATGTTGAAGGTGTCTGAATACATTTTGGTTTGGCTGTATCTATTTGATAAATTAAGTTAACCAACTAACATTATACATACTCTTTTGGTTTCTGTACCCAATATTTTTAAAATTTACAAATGCAATAAAATATTGGTATCGGTACTCGGTATCGGCAAGTACCAAAAATAAAAGTATCGGTATCGGGCGAGTACTGGAAAAAGTGGTATCGGTGCATCCCTACTTAAAACCCTAAACTTAAAAAAAAAAATCTGTCTTTTTCATAGAAATACCCACTATTCATTCGTTTTTATTCATTAGTATCACAAGGACTTCCGAGATGTCCAGCTTGGATGTGGAGTGTTAGCTGCTGCGTTTGTGTGTGCGCATTTGAGGATGGTTAATCATCAGTAGAAAATCTCTTCTCTCACAGAGCCATTTGATAATAGCATTAATTTGGATTTTTGTATAGTCTGTTTCCAGCACAGAGAGAACACTAGCCATTCCACAAAGCATTAGTGAACAGTAAAAGTACAGCAGGATTAGGTTTATCAGCGGTTTTGCATCACTTGTCCAATGATTTATTATAAGCCCTGCTGAAAAAACAGCCTAAGCTGGTTTACTGGTGTTTGCTTTTCTGTTGGCAGATTTTAGACACTTTTCAGACCAGCTTGGCAAAACCATTTTACACCAGCTAAAACCAGCTTGGGCTAGCTTAAACAGTTTATCTTTCAAATCGGTCTCATGTTTGGTGCAGTTCATTGAACTTCTAGCCAACCTGGCAAATAAAGCTTCATAACTGAGCTGAATGAAGATGATGCATCAATGTTCATTCTTTCTAAAGTTTGAGGGAACATTTGAGAGCCCAATAAGACATGTCTTTTACATTTGGGTTGTGCATCAAATCGAGCTTTATCCAACATGAAAAAAATCACTTGCCTGAGATGATAAAATCCAACGGATCGAATGTCACCTGGTGGTATTTTCACAAACTGAATTTTAATAGGTCACCTATTTTAAGTGATGGTTGAATTAATCAGTCACCTAGTCTATTGTGCTCATCCTGAACTTTGAGTTTAAAGCTTTGGCAATATCATACTAATGTTCTCAAACAGAATATGTGAAATCCCCTAAATTATGCATTTCTGATCAAATAAATGCAGCCTTGGTGAGCACAAGAGGCTTCTTCCCTAAACATGAAAATCTTACCGACCCCAAACTTTTGATTGACAGTGTACCATATTACTGAAGAATTACCATATTTATGTTATTAACATGGTACTTCTAATAAACCATGGCAGTACTAAGTCCATAACCATTGGGTTATTTTGTTGGGAAGATCATATTTTCTCTCGTTCTCTTTCCTTCAGGACTTTAAAGAACAAATAGTGCACCATGTTGCCACCATCCTGCTGATTAGTTTCTCCTGGTGTGTGAACTACATCAGAGCAGGAACCCTCATTATGCTGGTGCACGACGCCTCCGACTATCTGCTGGAGGTAAGGGAACATTAGTGTAGAGACTGTGTCCCTGGAGCTTTGACTTTGTTACACTTCAATACAGAGAGAAAATGTTTTTCAAACATTTGCGTTATCTTATTTGCAACATGCGTATGTTAAGTGAAAGCCACACATCAGATTGTTTAATAGAATGTTATAGTAGATTAGGGCTGTCAAAATGGCTGAAAAACTAAATTTGAATTTTGTACTTAAATATTATAAAATTTCGAATTATATTCGGATTTAAAATATATAATTTCAGTTAGGGTGAAGAAAAGCTTTTGGCTTCTCTCCTGAGGCCAAAAGAGGGCGCATCATTCAAAGCATAAGATAACATGACTATCTGCGAAAAAAAAGTGCATAATGTTTAAAATAATGTTTATAAACCTATTATAATTAAGTTGCTTAAACAACTATAAACAAAACCGCATCATGCATGTATGCATAGTTTAATACAAAGAGCGGAAAGCCAATCACACAGAGTACATTTTTCATTTAAAGATGAATTATATGATGTATTTGCTGTAACAGAATATGTTGACATGCTTTAATGTTCAAAAAACAGATTCTTTTTCAAATACTGTACATTATTGTAGGTCCTCTATGCCCCGCCTCTCTCAAACACGTCGTTTTCAACAAAGCCCCCTCCTTTGACAAGTGCAGTCTGCTCTGATTGGCAAGCTGACCCAGTGCATTGTGATTGGCCGAACACCACAAGCACGCGTCGGAAATGTAACGTCCCTTACCATAATCGCGAGCTTCATCTTTCAAAATAAATATCAAGACAGTTAATAATGTTGTTAGTTTTACCATCAGTTCAAGCCCGAAAGGGCAACAGAGTGACAGACACAGTGAAGACACAGTAAAGATGCAGTATTGCATTAATTGTACATGGCTTTCTAAACATGCGGCTCTTTTGTGCGAGACGCGAGTGCAACAGTAATAGATGTCCGTCTAGAGTGAAATATGCGTTCTGTGTGAACAGCTTGGTTTCGGTTTTGATGTAAACAAGATCTTCTCCGCATTGTTATCTTGTCCCACAATATTTGTAATTGACAATGCAGCAGCGCCGCATCTAGTGGCTTCAAATGGATAGGCTAAAAAAAACATTATGATGCAACGACACTTACATCGTCATCGCATCTCGTGCGCCGCAGATAAGGCTGCCTCCTTAACGCACACCTAAAATTCGAATGCAACGTTTTTGCATTCGAATGCGAATTTTTATTTTAAATTCGACGAATATTCTAAATTAGTTTTTTTTGACAGCCCTATAGTGAATAGAATGTTATAGTGAACGAGTGTTTCGCAGACACACTTTGCGATTTGTAATGTTTTTTCCTCAATTTCTATGAACAAATAATTTTATCACATAGGTCTTGTTTACACATTTGGCTTTTGTGACATCCAGCCACATCCAGATGATACACACTCATAGTGCTGTCCATTACCTGATATTAATAGTTGTAATCCAAATATTGTTTATTTAAAAAATATTTTCCTTTGCTGTTATCGAGCTTCATGTGCTTGTAAAGTTATATCGCTCTTGTAAATGGCTAAATTAATTCAGTCAGGGTTATTAATGCTGCTGTGAAACACTGTCTCCTAGTGGTGCTTTTTGTGCTAGACTCAAAGACATAATGTCCCATCTCTGTCTGTCCCAACAGTCTGCCAAAATGTTTAACTACGCCGGCTGGAGAAAAGCGTGCAACTACATATTCATCATATTTGCTGTCATCTTCATCATCACCAGACTCGTCATCTTCCCATTTTGGTGAGTTGGCAAATTTTCTATTTTGATCCCAAGGTTTATAATTAAACCTATAAATCATGCATTTCTCTTGACCCACTTTCTGTATTTGTCAAGAGATATCAAATGATTTGCTTCTATAATATCAAATGAAAGCTCTATAAATAGGAATTCGTGCCTGTCTCAAAGTTTAGTTGAAATGTCACACTTTTTAATAATTCTATAAACCTTTGCGAAATGAACTCCAGATGCCTTTTTTTTTTTTTTCTTCATTGCTAGGTACATGTCAGATGTTAAACTCTCACTTTCTCTCTTTTCCGTGTCTCTCAGGATTTTGCATTGTACTTTGGTGTATCCAGTGACCGTTTATCCTCCGTTCTTTGGATATTACTTCTTTAATGGGCTGCTGTTTGTGCTGCAGTGTCTGCACATCTTCTGGGCCGTGCTCATTCTGCATATGGCCATCAAATTCTTGCCAGGCAATGTAAGTTATCCAGTACAGACTGGACTACTTTGGATATTATATTTTGGCATTTTATCCTCTATAGTTCTGTAAAAGTGACGGCTTGTTTCAAATCAAGAAGATAAAAATATCCTCCCAAAAATCCCGTAAATTGACATTTTCCTCTTTATTTATTTATTTAAATCTATATATATATATATATATATGCTAACATTATCTATCATGTACATGTGTAATCTTCTATCATGTACATACACAAATAAATATAATTTTTTTTTTTAACTTTCTATCCATCAAAGAATCTTAATTTACACAAATATTTCTACAAAAACTGTTTACAGTATTAATAAATATTGTCTCTTGAGCAGCAAATCAGCATATTAGAATGATTTTTGAAGTATCACATGACACTGAGGACTGGAGTAATGATGCTGAAAATTCAGCTTTACCATCACAGGAATAAATTACAGTGTAAAATATATTAAAATAAAAACATTATTTTAAATCGTAATAATATTTCACTATTACTGTTTTTACTGTATTTTTTTTAGCAAATAAATGCAGCTTTGGGGAACATAAGAGAATTCCTTAAAGGGATAGTTCACCCAAAAATGGAAATTCTGTCATTAATTACTCACCCTCATGTCGTTCTAAACCCATAAGACCTCCATTCATCTTCGGAACACAAATTAAGATATTTTTGATTAATTCTGAGAGCTCTCTGACCCTCCCATAGACAGCAAGGTTACTACCACGATCAACGTCCAGAGACGTAGCAAGGAGATCGGTAAAATAATCCATGTGACATCAGGGGTTCAACCGTAATTTTTACGAAGCTACGAGAATAATTTTTGTACGCAAAAAAAACAAAAATAACAACTTTATTCAACAATTCGCCTTCTCCGCGTCACCCTAGCGCCATTTTGGAGAGTATCCACTGAACGTAAACCGCATATGCTATTCTGTGTCAGCTGCATCACACGGATACGTTGTTTTCGTTCAAATTAAAGCGTAAACAATGTAGAAAACATATCCACTTGACGCAGCTGACACAGAACAGCATACGCTGTTTACATTCAGTGGATACTCTCCAAAATGGCACCAGGGTGACGTGGAAAAGACTAATTGTTGAATAAAGTCGTTTTTTGTTTTTTTGCATACAAAAATTATTCTCGTACCTTCGTAAAATTACGGTTGAACCCCTGATGTCACATGGATTATTTTACCGATCTCCTTGCTACGTTATTACATTGCTGTCTATGGGAGGGTCAGAAAGCTCTCAGAATTCATTAAAAATATCTTAATTTGTGTTCCAAAGATGAACGGCGATCTTACGGGTTTAGAACAACATGAGACGCTGTTTACGTTCAGTGGATACTCTCCAAAATGGCACCAGGGTGACGTGGAAAAGACTAATTGTTGAATAAAGTCGTTTTTAGTTTTTTTGCATACAAAAATTATTCTCGTACCTTCGTAAAATTACGGTTGAACCCCTGATGTCACATGGATTATTTTACCGATCTCCTTGCTACGTTATTACATTGCTGTCTATGGGAGGGTCAGAAAGCTCTCAGAATTCATTAAAAATATCTTAATTTGTGTTCCAAAGATGAACGGCGATCTTACGGGTTTAGAACAACATGAGGGTGAGTAATTAATGACAGAATTTCCATTTTTGGGTGAACTATCCCTTTAAGAAACATAAAAAAAAATCTTAACAACCCCAAAAGTTTCTATATATGGTAGCATCTCAACAAAAATATGTTTAGCATTTCACTCTCAAAATCTCAAATGCAGTTTTTTTTCACATATGGAAAAACAAACAAACAAAAGAAGATATTTAGCAGATTGTCCAAGCTGCTGGTCTCCGTGCAATGAAAGTAAATTGTGACCTTCGCTATTTCTGGTTTCCATCCAATTAGTTCTACGAAACAGTGCAGCTTGGTCATTCTTCAGAATTTCTCCTTTTGTGTTCCACACAAACATAAAAAAAAATCTTAACAACCCCAAAAGTTTCTATATATGGTAGCATCTCAACAAAAATATGTTTAGCATTTCACTCTCAAAATCTCAAATGCAGTTTTTTTTCACATATGGAAAAACAAACAAACAAAAGAAGATATTTAGCAGATTGTCCAAGCTGCTGGTCTCCGTGCAATGAAAGTAAATTGTGACCTTCGCTATTTCTGGTTTCCATCCAATTAGTTCTACGAAACAGTGCAGCTTGGTCATTCTTCAGATTTTCTCCTTTTGTGTTCCACACAAGAAAGAAAGTTCTGTTAGTTTGAGCTACATGAGTGTAGTGTAAGTAAATGATGACACAACCTTCATTTTTGTGTGAACTACCCTTTGAAGTGATTCAGGCAGAAATAATTGCATAAAATTGTAGGAAATATGAATTGCAAGGATTTTAAAGCTTCATCACAGTTAATTTGTCATGCCACAGAATATTGTGGAGGATGAGAGGAGTGACCGAGAAGAAACAGACACTGAGGACGATGAGGAAGAACAGGAGGACAGGAAAGCGCCAATGAAAAATGGACCAGTGCAGAACGGCCACTCTCCTCTAAACAACAACCATCACCGCAAGACCGAGTGATACTAGCAGAGACGAGAGAAGGAGGTACAACACTCCCCTTCCTGTACACACGGACGAGACCAACAAACTAACGCCAGGGGTGTTTGATGGATTGAAAAGACCCAGAGCAAACACACACTCACAATACATGTAGAGAGAGATATATATATATATATATATATATATATATATATATATATATATATATATATATATATATATATATATATATATATATA